CCGAGCTCCTTGCGCATCGCCGTGAAGGCCGAGTAGTTGAGCTTGCTGTCGTCGACGAGCTTGGCGCCCTTGCGCGCGTTGAGAGCTCGCCGCTTCAGCACGTCGGTCTCGATCTTCTTCCACAGCATGCCCGCGTAGAGGCGGCGGGCGAGCGAAAAGAGCTTCTCCATCCGCTGCTTCTTGCCGCGGCCCAGGGACTTCTTCGCCGCCTCGGACACGTCCTTGGAGTCGACGGCGTCGTCCATGAACGCGACGAGCGTCTTGATCTCGTGGGCCGTCGCGTCCTTGGGCGACAAGCCGCTCTGCTTCATGCGGCGCCGCGCGTTCTCCTCGCGCTTGGACCGCTTCACGTGCTTCTTGTAGAGGAGCTTGCCCGACCGCAGCATCTGCTTGGCCGTCGCCCGCAGTACCTCGATGTTGGACTCGCCGTCGAGCTCGGCATGCAGCATCGTGAACACGCGCATGCCCGCCTGACCCAGGGCCTTGGGCGACGTCGTAGGAGTCGTCAGCGGGGCCGTAGGAGTCGCCGTTGGAGTCGCCGTCGCGGGCCGCGCCGCGGCCGCCAGGGGCTGCGCCGTAGGACACGTAGGAGATGCCGTAGGAGCCGTAGTCGTAGGCGCAGTAGGAGCCGGAGGAGTTGCCGTGGCAGCTGGCGTAGTAGTCGCCGTTGGACCCCTAGGAGCCGCAGGAGTCGTCGACGTCGCCGCGGGACGCGTCCCGGCCGCCAAGGGATGCGCCGTAGGAGCCGTAGGAGCCGCGGCCCTGGGCGTCGTCGGCGGCAGCGCGCCGGACATCATGGGCTGCGTCGGCCACGCGCAGACGGCCATCGGGACGCCCATCTGGCCCGGCGGCGTGACCATGTACTGCGCGGGGATCACCGGCGACATGATCGACTGCGTCGGCCCCGCCGCGAAGGTCTGAGCGGGCGGCGTCGGCGCGACCGCCTGCCGGCCCGCCGCGTGGAGCACGTGCAGGGGCGTCGGCGCGACGGAATTCCACGAGGCGAGCGGTGGCCGGGAGCGCGCATCGACCGCAGCAGGTCCAGTAGGAGCAGCGAACCGCGCGAGCAACACCTCCTTACTGGCGTTGGCCGTCGGCAGCCCCCGCGCCCTGAGCGCCTCGATGATCTCACCGTACTTCCACGATATGTTCGGAGCGTTGTCCACGACCGCCAGCGGCGCCTGCCACATCTCAACGACTCACGGTGTCGTCGGGCTGCTTTGGAACCAAATCCAAACGGGCAGCCAGCGAACGCTTGCAGCGGCATGTTGTGCTGCACGTTGAAGCACGCGACATGGAGCAAACGGCTCGCACCTTCGAGCGCTGGTCGTACGAACTCGCGTCGTGGCAGCGGCATGGCCGCGGGAGACGACGCCATCGGCGCCGAGCGCTGCCGATTGCTGAAGTTTGGGCTCGCGCGTGGAGAGGATTGGTGAGGTTTGGAGAAGATTGTTGACATTAGGCGTAACTAAGTCTTACGAACCGGCCTCGGCTTCACGCTCGTTGGGTCGAAGTGTAGTACGATAAACTGGCTGCCGAGCCCCCAACCGTTGTGACACAACCAGCGCCGTCCTCGCAGGAGGAATCGCGAAGCGCCGCAATATCCGCGCCGATGAAGCAGAGTTTATTTCGGTCGTTTCCGCGCGTCACGCGCGCCGCGTAGTACGCGGGACGCCACGGCTCGAAGGGCCTCTCGGCCGCCGGAAACCCCGCCCGGCAGTAAACTCGCTGGTGGTGAATCATCGGTAAAGTAAAACCCGAAAAAACTGCCCCTGGACCGTCACAGATTTCGGTCTTGCCCTCTGGGCAGCACTGTCAATCCCAGATTCTCTAGGCTGCCTTATCCAGGCCGTAGTTCTCATTGCTGATATGTGTCGTTTGCGGCCTGGCTGAGCCATCTTGAAATACAACATGCCGTTGGAGACCATCAAACATAGGGCTGAAATCATATGCCATTCTCTAGAGTTCGGATTCAGAAACTATCCACAGCAGACATATTACTAGGACCAAGATCAAAATCCCGCTTGCACCGCTCGGTTTTTCTGATGCTCGTATCGAGGCCAGAATCAGCTGTCATATTACATCGTCTGAAATACCTGGAGTGACGCCTACGATTGAGTCATCCTTTCAGGATATTTCACAATAGTTTATCAATAGTTAATCATACCTATAATGCTAGGCAGGGCGGTACTTGTGTTTTGGGTGGTATATTGTGTAGGCATGTACACATGGCCACCCTTCCGGCGA